GTAACCCTTCTTTTTCCTGGCTTTTTTGACAGCAAGTAAATAAATTCTGACTTACGGTGAAATTTTATTTTTACAACATAGACCATGAAGCAAAATATTCAGAATACAATATTTTTTACCTATCGTATGTGAGGCATTCTGATATGTTTTTCCTTGTGTTTCATTTTCTTTATGCTACTCATGAGCCAGTATATTGATTCCCTGAGCTATTAGTCTTTTTGGAACCACTATTAGGAAACTGCTTTAGTAAATTTCTCTAAAAGATATTATAGATTCATTATTCATTATTTTTAAAACATATATGGAATATCTGTCCAGGACAGGCCTCTGTGGGGTGGGAAGGACAGCACCCACTGTTCTCCATATCTACTTCTGCATTCACAGGTTGAAAGTATTTAGGGGAAAAAAAAATTGTATCCAAATTGAACTTCACAGATTTCATCTTTCTTTGTCATCATTCCCTAAACAACACAGTATAATAACTATTTTTATATCATTTACATTGTATTAGGTATTATAAGTAAACTAGAGGTGATCTAAAGTACAGGGAAGAACACAAATAGGTTATATGCCAAATCAACAAAATTTCATGAGAGACTTGTGCATCTGTGGATTTTGATATCCTTAGAGAATCCTAGAACCAATCCCCAGAAGATACTGAGGGATAACTGAATTTTAAAAAGTAGGAAATAACTTCAAATAAATCTGGTAAGTGATACTTTAAAGTTTCTCTTTTCATCTGTATAAAAAGAAATATATAATTGGCTGAGAGTTAGTAGCAGGTTTCCAGCCTAAGGAAGCAGGATGAAGGGGCCAGTGTGAGAAGAGAGAGAGGCCCAGGAGGCTTCAGGATTTGACAGAGGTCATATGAGTCAGGAGCTGCAGGAGCTACCAGAGGCACAGCTAGAGGGGACAACACTCGTGCTCTGGGAAGTGCAATAGAAGACCAATACGGATGGAGAAAAGCAAATAAAAATGCTGAACAGGGGAAAAGTATATGGAAAACATCTTATGGGAAAAAGCCTGAGGCTCTTCTTAGAAAAAAGTAGCAATCAAAGGAATTCTATAGTGGAAGGTTCCCCTGCAAAAGGCTATATTGACCAACTGTTCCATTTTTAAAAGCTTGACCCATTTTCAAGAATCTCCTAGAATCTTAACCACTATTCAATTGCCAATAGTTCAGGGACTGACACTTGCTGCTGTTTAAGTTGAAATGGTCTAGTTAAACTTTATATCTAAGCAGAAGACTTAGCTTTGTCATGATATTCCATACCATAGGTTCTCCTTCCTTTGGAGGTCTTTCCAGGGGAGGAATGTACCACTGAAAGCAAAGTTCTTTGTTTACAGTTGGTACTACCATTTCTGATGACGTAACGTCCACAGAAGATGTACTGGAAAGAAGTTTTGAAGAAAAGATAGACTGCAGGGAACTGTCATGATATATCTAGGGAACAACAATGACAACAACAAAATTCATGTTAGTTTAACTGCTTATAATGAACTCACTCAATATTTACAGAAAATTAATTGATTGTACTGGAAAATTCTGAGAATTTTTTGTTACCTTGTTTTACAAAGGTAATCTTTAAACTGTCTCTAGGTCACTATAGATTCTGCTATAATAAAAATATGCTTTAAAACCCAGCAGACTTGACAAATTTCTTCCACTTAGTGAATTTTGAGAGGAATGATCTGGAGGGGAAAATATCCATGCCACCTTCTCAAGTTCATCACTGTTTCTAAGAAACATCTTCTTTGTTGTCTTTGGTTTATTCATTGGTGAATACACTGAGAGTGTGGCTATAATTTATTATCTATTTTCCAGTCACGGTGCCATATACAAAACAAGACACAGTTTTTGCTCTGAAAGGTGAAAACTCATGGCCCTCATTCCTTCTTTCAATGAATGTAGCTGATTTATAAGTTCACACGTCTTTGGTGAATCTGGGCCCAAATTCTTTTATAGAAATTGGTCATTAAGTCAAGAGTCTTCAAGAAATCTCAGTGTGTAGAATGCAAATTCATAAATTATTTAATTGTCCAA